GCCAGGCTTTCTCCTGGGTCCGCTATCGGTGGAAAAGAAGGCACGCAAGGCGGCGAAGCGAAGCGCCCCGTTCCGCCCGAATAGCTTGACAGAGACGAGGCCTGAGATTCTCAACGTGGATGACCTGGCCAAGAAGGAGAACGACCTGACGGTGATATGCGGCAAGATTCTTCAGCAGCTTTATAAAATCCAAGCCGAGACCCAGCAAACAGTGGCAGACCTGATCACTGACGAGATGGATGAGGAGGAGAATACTCGCATCATGCACGAGCATGGGCTTCGCAGTACCGGAGGGATTGACCTGATGAGATTCGTAGTCAACCCCAAGTCTTTTGGACAGACCATTGAGAATCTCTTTTACGTGAGCTTTCTTATTCGCGATGGGAGGGTCGAGATTGATTTCGACGACTACGGTCTCCCTTCGTTAGGTAAGTCCACACCAATGCAGACCACATTTGGCTTCGCGCATAGAGGCTTTTCTTTTCACTGACACAGTGTGCAGCGCCGGTAGATCGAGAGGCAGAGGATACGGAAGCTATCCGGCAAGCGACTTCCAAGCACCAAGCCATCCTATCCATGGACATGGAAACGTGGCAAGACATCATAGACGGGAACTGGCAGTTTCCGGACCCGGCGCCAGGGGCTGGTACGGCTAAAGATGGCCTTTGAATAACTGAAACGGCCTGCGACTCTTTGTGCTCGTGGGGATTCAGTCTCTCTACGGCGTTTCATAAATCTAATTTTAGACAAAGAAGCGATGGAAGAGGAACGACGAAGATTTGACCGACAGAGCACAGACGGGTCGTGCTCGCACGCTATGACCTATATTCAAATCTTTCACCCTTTAGTTGTGTTGGAGTTCACCTTGCGTGTTCTGCATGTCCAAGGAAGCATGAAACTCCTTGGTCTTTTGACGGAGTTGCCCAGTGGCAGTGTATGGGAAACCATGAGAAGCGACAAAGAGATTTTGTTTAATGATCGCCTTTGGCAAGAGAAATTTGATGTATCTACGCTTTGTTCGGGGCAGGCGTTTGTTATCCCACAATGTTGTTATGACCAGGAAAGATCCCTTCTGTATATTCATTGTCACTCTACCAACAGTGGACAATCCTCTCTGCGACCCTGAAAGAGGCCGTTGTATCGGCATGGCTTAAAGCCCATATATAGGGACATGACCGCTCTTACAGGCGTTACCAACTTGATACTCTCCATGGCATTCCATTTATGACCGAGTCTACGAAGGTTTCCACCCCCTGTTGAACTGATCATGCCTGAATACGAATTCAAACCAACCAAATCCGAGGATGAGGACGCCTGGACATACAAAGCTCCCAACAAGGAAGAGAATGCACAATTCAAAGCCGGAAGCATACCTCGGCCCGTGAGGAAGATACGACGCAAGAAGAAGGAGGCTGGCGGCCCTGCAGCAGTTGCGACTTCAGACAAAGAGGAACAGCATGCCGACACGACGGCATCCGAGGAGGTTGCGGCGATTGATCATGCGTACGAGGAGCAGTGGACAGGAGCAAATGCCACCAGCTACGAAAACCCGCCATTTGAAGACGACGAGTCTGACGATGCGTCTTCTAGGGAGGAAGAGCAGGGCCCAACTGTTGACGACTTTGAAGCGAATCTTGACGAGGTCCTGGCCATGGCCCCTGGGCCGTCGTTGAATGACGAGCTGGGCTCGGATTACGACGGATACAGCGACAATGGGGACATCAATGACGCTGCTTCTGAAGAAGACGGCCTCGCCGTTGATCCGGTGGGTGCGAGCCCTTGGCCGTCGAGCAGTTCTACGAGTGATGGCGAGTCGAGTAATGCTGGGAATGGCTTGGCTGAGTCTGCTAGCACGGAGTCGGCTCGGAGCTTGCAGGCTGGCCTTCTGGAGGTGCGCCGTGAATGCGATGGCCTGAAGAAGGAAATGGAGTCTCGCGATGTGAGGACTGCCGAGCTGGAGAAGGAGCTGGACTCTCGCGGAAAGCGCAATGAGGCCCTGCAGACGGATTTGGATTCTCGAGACAAGCGGGTTGCAGCACTGACGGAGGAGCTGCAGGCTCATGTTGAGAGGACTACGACATTGGAGACGGATTTGGTTTCTCGTGATGGGCGGATCACGGCATTGATGGAGGACCTGGCGTCTCGTGACGAAAAACTTGCAACGCTTGAGAAGGAACTGGAGACTCGTGAGGAGCAGCTTACGGCACTCGGCAAAGATCTGGAATCTCGTGACCAGAGAGTCACGGCGCTTGAGAAGGACCTGGAGTCTCGCGACAAGGAAATATCAGCTTTGAAGAAGCAATCAGAGGCTCGCAACCATGAGATCGCAGCACATGAGGAGGAGCTGGAATCTCGCAGAAGGGAATTGGAGTCTCGTGCTGAGAGTAGCGCGGCATTGGAGAAGGAACTGGAATTCCGCAACGAGAAATTCGCCGTACTCGAAAGAAACCTGGAACTGCGCAACAAGAGGATATCTGGACTGGAAGCCCAGAACTCGCAGCTCGCCGCTGGAACAACCAAGACTGTCTCAACTCGCGACTCCGCCACCAATACCAAGACATCCCCTGAAGATGCTCTTTCACGAACAATTACCTCCAGAGAAGATGAAAATGTCCAGCGACTCGTGACGGCCGAGCGAGAACAACCATCATCGCCAACATCTACTTTTGCCTTGAAGACGGCTGAATTGGTGCGATTCGTCCAGATGTGTTTCGGCATGTTGAAAGCCTTGTATCTCGCCTGCATCAGTGTGGCGAGCACGGCGTCAATCACAGCGAGATCGTTCCTCTCTTCTGTAGGCAGATCGGAGTCCTTCCAGACGGCGGTGGATGCCGGTCAGCGATCTGTGCGAGCATCCGCCATTTATCTGGCAACGCCCTTTTGGATCATTATGAGCTTTGCCATGTTCATGTCCATATGGCGTGAGAGGAGCTACTGGGTGCAAGCGAATGCCGTAACGAGGAAGCACTTGCTGAAGCATGCGGCCGGAGTGTTTGAAATAGCGGACTGGGAAGTGTTTTTCGCCATTGGAAGCGCGGCATTGACTTGAGTGATGTAAATGATGTTGGATCAGTGTGTGAGATGCTGGTTGTTAGCTGGATCCTGGGTTCTTTCATGTTGGAGTTATTTTGTTTTGTATGAGCAATTTGTGTCAGAGGATGAATTTGTGTCAGAGCGATGCTGTGTTGAGGTTGTTTGAAGATCCGTGGATATAGAGGGTCAATTGATAAAGTTCAATTGATGTCCCGGCATTCCTATCTACTAAAGTATAGCGTTAAAGTGCTCTTACATACGTTGTTAAGGTTAGTATCTTGAGGCGGCAGATGAAGTCGAGTGCAGCCAAACCTTACCGAGGAACCCCCGCTGCACCCCGCGAATTCGGTTCCAAATTCTACAACGCGCGTACTAGAAGTTTTATGCCTAAATACCCAGGCATTAAACATGGCCAGCTACCCGAATTGCAAAGATCTGGCGTCAATTGGGGTTGAAAGCTTTATTGTAGGAAAGAAGATTCAAAGATGCACATGTCACAGCTTTGAGATATAGAAAGCAGCCAAAGTTCCCACAAGTCATTTAGTCATCCGCGGTGGAAAGTTTGAAGCTCAACAACGTGGGCGCCTCAGGTACAGTAACACGCCAAGGTACAATAATACGGTACTTTTGGTGACGATGATGATGGCAACTTCAGGCGCCGCACAAGAGGAAACTTGGCAGCAACTGCTAGCCGGAAAGACACGGAGGCTGGCCA